TTTGTTCCCCTTGGTTTTACAATTCTTTTTAAAATTTTATTTTATAACAATTATCATAAAATAGCAGCAAAAATAAAACATTTGTACACACGTTAATAAGTAATAATAATGAAACATAGTCGATTTAGAACAACACAGATGATAATAACAACTTCCCTCTAGAAATTTGGGGATTCTGATTATGTGAGCTTCACATAGAAAGGCTCCACAGGGTTGCCAGCATTTTGTGAACTCCTTACTTTTACTTCAAGGTCAGGAAAAAAAGAAGAAAAGAAAAATAAAACAGATGGCGAAATGTCTTTCTTCTAAGATGTAATTTAAAATAATGGAGAGCTTTGTGCCTTCACCAAGTCTCATATTTACCCAATTTGTCTTTCTTTTTATATAATGTGTGGCCTGGGGAATTCAGTTCCATGTGTTTCCTAGGAAAAACTAAACTCCTCTTCAACACACTTCACTCAAAAGCTTCTAATATAGTCACTTATAAGGAAAATTCTTTGTCTTGTATATGTGACTGAGAATGGATGGCCTGATATAGAAAAGAGAACACCTGAAGGATCTGTTATGGCACCAGTCTAGCATAGGCTTCCAGATGGCATGCTGAGGCTTTATGCACTTTTTCCCTTTGGCCAAGCAGAAATTTTGGTTGTGCTTGATTCAACCAATTTTGAAGATATGATAAAATAGAATTTGGGGTCCTGAGGTCAACATTTGGTTCAGACTTTGAATAGGTAGAAGAAAAGGGGGTAAGAGACATGTTGTGTTCAAAGCCTGGATCACACACACATTAGCAAATGTACATTGGGACTCTGGGGAGTTATTTCATCTCTCTGAACCACAGTTCCACCTCTCTATAATAAAAGGGAAACAAAATGAAGTGTCATGGGATGTCAGATATAACGACATCTGATAAAGTATTCAGCAGAGAGCCTGAATTGCTCTTGCCAGCCCTTGATGATGTAGCAACATGAAGTGTTCAGTCTGGGCAGTGGCTCATGTTACTCTCCATAGAGCCTGCATACAAGATCCTGGCTGTGCAAGGCTTCCCTAATTCTTTCCAGAGGAAGTCATTTCTGCAAGCTTACCTAGACAGTTTTTTTATTTGATATAATTATATCATTTAACTCCAGGTATTAGCCCAACAGTACAAATTCAACCAAAATGTTAATCTTGTAGTTAAAGCTCAGAGTAAAATTTCATATTTCATGGAAGTGTCTCAGTAGAAGTTTCCAAAAACCTAGTCCTTAGAACCCATCCTAGTATTGTACTTTGTGCCTAAAAGATACCATTGCCCCTTTGGTGATTGTCTCTGTGAATCAAAGTTCCCATCCCCTACCCCCGACACCCCCCCCCAAAAAAAATCCTGCATCTTCAGCTGAACCTCCTGTAAGGCTGATGAACCAATTGGCATTTCAATTACTGTGGAGAGTTTGGAATGTTGCAGGTCCAGAGCCTAATTTATCTTGGGCCATCTTTAGCCTCCTAAGTAGCCACTCCTTGCCCACCTCTGTGTCTGACTTAACATCCTGTGACTAACAGATAAAAAACATTTTGGAATGTATTAACAAAACCTTAGTTTCCACCAATCGAAAGGATGAGGAAAGCATCCAAAGTCCATAAGCTAAGATTTTTTCACTTTGCCATAACTGCCTACTTGACGTTTCCACCAATATATTTGAACAGTGTCTTGATTTATAACTTTGGTTTATTTTGTTACTTTAAAAACACCATGAAGTTGCTTCCATGGAATTTGGGGTGACCTGAATCTCTGTTCCCGGGCCATGACACTCATATTTGACTCCAGAATACACTATCATTTATCCCCTTTGAGGTGAGAGTTATGCTTTTGCTTCAGCATCTTCAAGCTTTGTTTCTAGAGATTGGAAGGCAATTAGATCAATCTGAAGGGTGTTCTAGCCAATAGCTTTACGAAGATTGTTGCTTCATTGAGCTAGCATAGAGAGAGTCCTGAAGTCCATAGACACACTTCCCTTTGGGGTTGCATAGGAGAAATTTTTATGTAGTCTTAAAAATCAGTTACAGCTTAAATTGGTTTCTGTTTTATTAGATGTTCACTATGTCTTGTGCTACATCATGATTATATTCTTTAACAAGAAATATGGTTTCAAGTCAGAGTTGTGGCATGTGCTTAGTAAACATTTAAGACTTCATTGTGTGCAGATTTTTTTTTATAGTTCATCTCTGTCTTCTATGTTCTACCATTGTGTTTCCTGTTTGCTTTTCTCCACTTCCCCCTTCTACATGTATTTATTTAGAAACCACTCTATGTTCTTGCTTGGAACAGTAGAGGAAAACAAACATGTGAGTTCAAGTGTCAGAGGTTGCTGCAATTTACTTAAAGAAACAAATTGCTCCAATTCCTAAAATGTGGTATATCACCCAGTGTGGGGATTGGGGTCACAAAATACTTGTCAACAGTAAAAGGTTTTTGAATGTGCACTGATCAAACATCACCTCAGAACCAAACATGTAATGAATCTGAGATGTTTCTGGCAGTGCTCACCCATGTTGCATGACACCACGTCACTGAACACACAACTTGTCCTGTACACACTACTTGTCCTGAACACACATGTGCACTTTGCCCTGTGCTTGCTGTTAATCATGGGATACTAAGAAATGCTCCCCAAAATATCTGTTTAAATGCAAAATTTTTATGTTATAGGCTGTGGTGTTTTTACTGTACATACAGTTTTCTGCTCTTATAGAAATATAATTGAATAACAGAAAATATTCTTTCTTTTTTTACTGAAATTTTTGTGATTTTCATACAATATAATTTGATGGTGTTTAGGTTCCCTCCCTCCCCTATCACCTCCCTTTATTGCCCCACTCAATTTTATGTATAATATATAGAGTCTAATTTGTGTGCCCAATATCCTTCGGTGTGGATCCATCTACTGGAGCCTAGTTAACCTACCTAGCCTCATCCTTGAAAGAGACTGTCTCTCCCCCTCCCAGCAGCCATCGGTTGCCAAAAGTTTCTTACGCAGGGTTGGGCTTACTTACCCACTTCCCCATGTCTATGCTGGGATTTTGTCTGGTTTGGCCTTGCATGAGATTGTACATGCTATTACCATTGTTGTGAGTTCATATGAGTAACTGATCAGTTGCCTAGAAAACTGTTTCCTTGTGGTCATCCACCATGGCTCATAAAATCTTCCCACCCCCTCTTCTGTACCAATCCCTGAGCCTTGGAAGGCAAAAGGAAAACAAGCAATTTTAATATTTTCGTATCGTCATTCCTTAGCATGTGTCAAATTAGTATACATTTGGACTGTACTATATCAGAATATTTTATTTTAAAAATTTCTGCCTTGAGTCTCATAAACAATAGTCAAATGAATCTTAGCTTGGGATTAGGACGGAATGTCCAACAGTTCTTAAAATGACCTTAAATATACTGTTACCATTTAGTGCACTGATGACTATAACCCAAAATATGGGTTAACTCTGAAAAACTTTGAAGATGCTCTACATCCTACAGTATCAAGTGTTCAGTCAAGATTTGATTTTTATGTAAAAATTTATATATATATATATGTATATATATAGATATATATACACACACCCAGGAATTATCTTGAAATTTTTTTATGAATTATTAGTATTAGAATTAGAATTTTTATGAATTCTTAGTAGCAAATGTTTGATTTGCCTATTTATATTATATATTTACATACCCAAGGTCACATAAGAAATTCTCCAAAGAAAAGGGCACCAGTGGAAAAAGTTTAAGAAATCTGTGCTAATACACAATGTAAGTTACAGGTTATGAAGATGGTGATGGGCCCTGCACAGCCTGGGTGGAATGCCTGTGTTCCCCATACCAGGTGCAAAATTTAGAGGCCAGCCCTTCGCTGGATGGGAAGAAACTTTGGGAATTCCTCCTGTGTACAGCAGGAAAAAAAGCTGCCCTGAGTGCCACTGATTCCAGCTAAAGAGGGGACCCAAGTCCAGCAGGGCCTAAAAGAGGTGACCAAGGGATCTTGCAAAGAAAGGAGGACTCAGATGGTAGAATGGGTCGGGGGACAATTCCTCTATGGCGAAGGAGCAGTGAAGGTACTTGGCCTTGGCTGAAGGAATTTAGTTGAAGTTCTTGCAGTTCTAGGAAGCATCATTTCTTCTGGCCAAAACATTATGAATTTACCTGGCAGTTTTCCTGCTGGACTGTAACATGGCTGGTGTGAAGTCTGTATTCCTTCACTTTTGTGAAGGAAAACGCACACATTGCATATGACTTCCAAGCACTCTTGGCTGGTGTAACAGGAAACACTGAAATCTGGCTCCTCGGTGCTCATGCACTCACTCAACAAACATTTACTGCAGCCGTTCTCTGCGCCAGGAGTTGGCTGTCCTCCTTTCGGATGATTTAGAGGGTACTTGATGGGATCTGAAGGACCCTCGGACTTCTGAGTGCCACTTCAGACATCTGGCACCCCTGCTCTGCCTGCGCACTTTGGAATTCCTCGGCTGCCAAGCCAACCTAACCCCTGCTAGATCCCAGCACCTAGAAGGAGTTGTGAAGGAATAAAAGGGAAGTTTCTCCAACAGTGCCACGTTTCTGTGCTCCAGGGTTCAGCTGGTTTGTTCTTGAGATGGTTCGGAGTTGGTCAGTAAACAGAAAAAAAGAAAAGAAAGAAAGTAGGAAGGGTACCCTGACCCAGATTTGGCTGAGCCACCGAGACCACAGTGCAAATAGCAAGCCCAGGTCCTGAAGCGAAGTGGATAGGACGCCCCACTCAGAAACTCACCCCGCTGCCCTGCTGCGCGCAGCCCCCCCTCGCCCCAGCGTTTGGTCCGGTGGCCGCCAATGTTGTCCCACCACCTTCCGGTTGCTGCCTGCTTTCGATCCTCGCGGCGAATGCTTCCTCCCTTCTGCCATTCTCCTCCTCCACTGCTCCTCCCGATCCCTCCTCCTAGGCTGGTCCCTCCTCCTCCCGCCCAGCCTCCCCACGTCCAGACCCTCGGGAGCTAGACGTCTGGGTAGCCCCAGCGCAGCGCACAGCAGCCTCCCTCCGCCTCCGGCGAGCAGTGGTCGCCAGTGGCCAGGGCGTCTGGAGACTGTCCAGGAGGTCATCGCCTTCCAGACCGACGACCGGTCACCGCGGCGTCCGCCTGAGTGGCGGGCTGGTCGCCGCCGACGCTGCCACCGCTCACGGCCGCGGGACTCGGTCTCGGATTAATTGGGGAGAGCCGGATCAGCTCCCCCGGCGGCGATGCTACTCTCGGGGACTGCGGGGACCGCGCTGCTGGCGCTGCTGGCCGCGCTCCTGGCCGCAGGTGGGGCGCTGGAGGAAAAGAAAGGTAAGGGCGTGTCTGCAGCCCGCGCCCCTCGGGGCGCTAGACCCGCCAGCCCCGGCCTGCTCCCCGCGCCGTGCCGCTCCTTCCCTGTTGGATGGATGAGCTGCGCTTCGGGCTGGGGTGGTGGGAGGAACTGGACACCTCCAGCCTGGAATGTGCGAGACGCAGGGCTTCGGGCGGCGGGGCTGCGAACCCAGAGTGGGAACGCTGGCTGGGCGCTCCGGGCTCCCGGCCGCTCCCAACTTTCTTTGCTCACTTTCCTGCCCTCCTGCGCTCGGTCGGCGACGGGAAGCAAAAACATGGTGTGGAGCCGCTCCTGGCGGTGGCGTCTGCGCACGTGCATCTCAGGCTGTCCGGGCGAGCTGGAGGGACCCGGTGTCCACTCCGGTGCCGGGAGCGCCCCACGGGCAGAGTCCTGGACTTTAGGAGTAAGGAAGAACTAACTAACCGGTTCAAGGCTTTGGGCCAGGCGGTTTCCTGAACGCACCCTCTGCACCTCCTTCCTCCTCCCGGGTTCCCTAAGACTCGCCTGGCAGCAGGAGTACCAGTCTGGCTCGCACATTCCTGCAAGCCCTTTCCGTGGTGTAGAGGGTGTGGAGCTGTGAAAATGACCTGGAAGTCTGGGAGAAGTCTCTGTCACTAACCATTGGGATCCCCAGGAGGGCATGGTGCAGATGGGGATTAGTTTCTGTGCCTGAAAAAAAAAAAAAAAAACAAAGTGGGGGGGAGTGGGGTGAGGAGGTTGGTCCTGTCTTTCGCGCAGATCTCCGCCACTGGGCATATGCCCTTGACCTGCCAGGCTAGCTCCGGGACCAGAGCTCCCTGCCAGCCTGGAGCTAGTCTCATTGGGTGGCAGTTTCCCTGGTATCCCTGAAGTTTTTCCCTTCCCGCTGTGCTCTCCTAGCATCTCTTGGATTCAAGCTGTATGACTGACAGCCTTGTGACAGCCGGGTCCATGTGCAGAGCACAAAGCTTCCTCTGCGCGGGAATTCATCCTGGTGGGACACCCCGGTGGTGTTTCAAAATGGGGCCCACAGGAAACTTTCCCCTTGTTCTCCAAGATTTTCCCTCTAGGGTTTTTAATTTTTTGCCTTTATGAAGAGTTTGTTATTGAGCCAACTGAAATATTAAACTTAATTAAAAAGAAACGGATTGATGCCCTTGGATCACATGTGCCAACTGTCCAGACCGAACTTGAGCAAGTTTGGCTTCACGACTGCCTATGAACCCACTTGACATGAAGAACAAGCCTCGGAAGGTTTAATTGCACAATTTCAAAATCCAGTGGCTTGAGTTCCAAGAGTCAGGTCCACACTTGCTGCTGATGTCATTGGCATCTGAGGTGGAGTTGGGGGTTGGTGCCGAAGCACACTTTTGTTGGAGGAGGGGTGAGGCCTAGAGTCCTGGTTCCCAAACTTTGCTGCACAATGAAATCACTTGAGATTAAAAATAAACAAGCAACCTCCCTTTCACCCCCAGTCTAGCTCCTACTTCATACACTTGGATTTCATTGGTCTGGTGTGAGAATGGGAGTTCTAAAAGCTTTGGAAGTGGTGCTATTGGGCCACCAGATTTGAGATTCACCCTCATAAAGGAAAGCTCAGTAACATCTCCAGGAAGATTATCTGGCAATCCACCCTGTTCTAATGGAACATCTGGAGCTTTATTAGTCTTGAAATAAAAGAAGGTCAAGGCAGAAGGGATGTCAGTAATAAAGGGGTACTATTTCAGTGAAGGGCCTAGTGAAGCTCTCCCTACCTCCCTTAGTTGAAGACACCCTGGCCCCTGCCTCTGATGCCCAGAAGCCATAGGCCTGCAGCTCAGCTCCTGGGTCAGCTAACACCAGGGCCCTCTTAGGTGGCATCTGTCTCTGGCCAAAGGACCCCCTCTCCTAAATTTAAATTACTCTCTTAAAGCCTCTGTACAGTATTACTTTTCTCCCTTCAGCTCTGTGTCTGCCTCTTTGATGTTACTGTTTTGAACACTGCTATTAGTGGTTGGAGATTTGTGAGAAATAGAATGCCACTTAATTTGCCTGCTTGGGTGTTACTCACTTAAAACCACTTCTATACACTTCTGACTACAGAGTTAAAGTAGAAAACAAATGCTGGTCTCCTAATGTGACATAAAAAGGTTAAATTCTGAAGTCCAGATTATTGAAAACCCCAGTTTTTCTGCAGTGCTGGTAAGTAAAAGATTTGTTAAGTTTAATTGTCAGTTTTGTTCCAGGTTGACTCCTTTAAGTGAAGTGGATTTTATCTCTGCTTCCCAAACCTATGGAACCACCTGTACCTGTCATACTCAACAGCAGAGGACTTTCAGACACTGCTTTAAGTATTGTCAATCCCCATATAACATGTATGAGGTGGCTGGTCTCATCATCTGTATGTATAGGGGAACATATGTACAGAGAAAAATGGTGGTTTTCCCTCATAGCTAGTAAGAAGCAATAGCAAGGTTCATCTCCAAACTCCACTGCCTTGTTGCAGGAGAGATATAGGCTACGTCGCATGTATAAGTGACTCGGGTTAGATTCTAGGAGAAAAGGGACCAGGGAACAAGCTTACTGGGAAGCCTGTCTGAGGCCTGGGACAAATGCCTGCTTGCTCAGTGATCTACTTTCCTGCTCAGGCATCCTCATTTCCTCTTGGGTTGCCTTTCATGGGGGTAGCTGAAACCAAATCAAACGGTGGACAGGGAATTTGCTTGGTTTTCTGAACAAGTCGCTTGCTTCCCCTGTACCTTGGTGGGGTAAGGGACCGCTCTGGAAGAGATCCTGTGTGCACAGCAAATGGCGGAAGGGACCCTCAGTCAAAGAGCTGTGTAGACATCAGCCTGCCTGGGAAGCTGCTCTCTGTGAACACTGAGATTCAGAAGGCTGGGTTGGATTGAGGAGAAAAAGAAGTGGGAATTCTAATGGGATCTCAGGTGAAGAATCACCACCCTTCTTACTCTGTCTCAGGGGCCAGGTTTTGGGAAGTCCAGGCCTGGATTGGTACCAAGGAAGCCTGTGTTCTCACTGAAGCTCTTGGTCAAGGTAGAAAAGTCATGTTGAAGCTCCAGGCTTCTGAGACCTGAGTAAATTCGGTGAATGCTTACTGAATGCATAAAATGTGCTAGCATATGAGTTTAAAAGGGAAGGAATCTTAATGGTTTGTATTGTTGCTCCCAAAGATGTGTGGTTCTTGAAACCACTAATTTAATATTGGTAATCACACACATTTTCAAATGTGGAAAGGAGATGTGCATTCCAAGTATCTGTAGTTATGTGCATATCCACAGTGGAGAACAAAGTATCAGAAACAGGATAGTAGCGCCACTAGACTGAACAGCCAGTGCTGGCCTTGTGAACTTAATTTCATAAACTTTTCCAAAAGAAAACACACTGTGAAGTTTGAAGAAGCCAATTGCCAAAATCCATGGTGCTGAGTTGTTGGTGCCTGTGACATTGTGAAGGTAGTTTGAAATGTTTCTGAAGTTATGTTATTAACGATGGAGTCTGTCCATTTAAAAAGAAAATATTCTGCTTTTTCTTTAATCAAACTCTAGGGCTCCAGCTAGTGTCTGAGGCTTTTTTGAAATGTGGCTAGCCAACTCAAATATTAAAGGCAGTTGATGACTACTAGCTTGTAAGGGACTGTGGCCCAAGACTGGTACCTCAGATCTTGAAGTGGGGATGGAATAAGTGTTTGTGCCTTCAGCCTCTCGAAGGACCCACCTTCCAAATGTGGCACTTGTCAAGTGACTTGTGGTCAAAGTGTGTGTGTGGGGAGGGTGCGATCTTTAATTTACTGGGGTTGTGATGGCCTTTTTTAAAGTTGGGATTTATTGACAGAGGTATGAAAAAAATTCAAACTTTTCAAATATGGCTCACTCGTTTCCCTGTTAACTTAGTTCTAAAAACTAGATTTTTGTTCCTCAGAATGAACTAACTCAATTTTATTTTCCTCTTGTCATTTACGGACATTAGAAATTATGGCAAGAAACATTTTTAATCTCAGTTAATTGTCCCTGCTTTTTTTCCCTTTGAGCTGTCAAGATCTAGAGAATGGTGTGTAAATTGTGGCAATTCCCCTATGACATCACAGTGTTTTCTCAGGGCTGGTTTTTTATTTTCTTCCTAAAATGTTATCTTTTATAAGAAAATTCCAGTCTTTGACTCACACTACATCTCAAGATTGTCCACTCTGGGCAAAGATCCAGGCTTTGATGTTTAATTCAAATAATTGGTTTGACTGTAATTTTCAAGTTTTCAGAGTCATTTGGTAAAGCTTCCCTCCTGTACATTTAGGTATATGTCCTCCCTCCAGATAGAAATTTCCCTAAGTCTTCTGGATGGGGTAATTGGAGCTCCTGAGTAGTGAAGGCAAGATTACCAAACCCAGTTAGATAGCAAGTGTGGGATTTGACCTTTTAATCTCTGAAAGCGCAGTCAGTATCTAACATCTGGCCCTCTTGACTGGCCATCTGTGCAATGCGTATACTGAGAGTAAATTTTACTTTTTGTAATTCCAGAAGCTTTGGAAAATAGTGTGTAAAAACCATCATGAGCTGCAGTGTTCTTTTTTAAAATCATACTACGCGTTTGATTCTTCCAGGACAGACCTAGAGATTCCAAGTGTCCTTTCTAACTATATTCAACTTTCCATTAACAGGAGGCCAAAATACAGTTTAGGGTACTAAGATTTAGAATACTTTGTATATAGTCCTTAATATTCCTATAATTTCACTATTACTGGATGGTCAGCACACATGGACTGATTTATATAACTATATAAGTTAGCCACTATTGTTTTTCTTTGGAGCATAAGGATACATATTGGTACCTATTATTATTTTTAGAATTTTGTTTGCCTTTTTCATTATATTTGAGTCATGATGAGTGATTTATGCTGTGCCACTCATACATTGAGATGCAAGAATGAGTTGGACTTGGTACTTTCCCTTACATGTCTGGAAATCAATTAGAAGAGAGAGTGAGCAATCCTAAGTGTGCAACACAG